ATATATATATATATATGCATCATCAAATTTCCTACCCTCACCTATGGCTATGAACTCTGGCTAAAGGCCGAAAGAAGGAGATTGCGGATACAGGCGGTTGAAATTAGTTTAGTCCACAGGGTAGCTGGAGTCACTCTTAGAGATAGGGTGAAAAACTCAGTTATGAGGGAGAGACTCAGAGTAAAACTGCTCCTCCTCCACATCAAGAGGAGCCAGTTGAGGTGGTTCGGGCATCTGGTAAGGATTCACCCTGGGCGCCTCCCAGCGAGGTGCTACAGGCATGTTAGACTGAGAAGATACCTGGGGAAGACCCATGGCATGCTAGAGAACCTACCGGTATGTCATTCTGGTAGCCTGGGAATGTCTTGAAATCTTCCTAGGAGAGCTAGAAGAGGTGTCTATAGAAGGAGATGTCTGGACCTCCATGCTCAAGCTGCTGCCCCCAAGACCCAACTTCAGAACATCCGGAAGTTAATAGTGGTTGGATATATACAGCAAACAGGTTATTCTTCCAAGTGCCAGCAATGACTCAATACATATTTGGGTCTGTTAGGTCTGTCCGTCATCTACCTCACCATTTGATCTCACTCACTGCCAGATGATGATCATTTGACAGTGTCTCTCCTCTCTTCGCCTGCGTGTCCAAAACATAAGGCCACAGAAAAGTTGAAACAATTGCAAACTATACCATTGATCTACTGCCCAAAATGGCCTGATGCCACATGCACTTATGTTCAAATATTGTCTTCATGATGGAAAAACTCTAACACAGATGTTCAACAAGAGAACACTGGTTGGTTTTACACCAGACAGGTCATTCCTCACAACCACAGCCCTTTGGGTCACACTGTCATTACCTACAAGGACATTGAAGTCAACCCAGTAGAAAAAAATAAGTCCCCAGCTGGAGCACATTCAAGCACCCCTTCTAAGGACTATAAGTCTTGGGTAGCTCAGTACTCTGAACTGCCATTTGGTGCGTAGGTACAAACAAAATCCAGAGCCGTACCCCCACACAATCATGTTTGTAAGCTACCCTCTCATCTACCATGGAAAACTCGAACACAGACATGACAAGACATGACATGATGCGTAGTAAGATTGTTCCGTCCACGTGGAGATTAGTGAGCTAACCTCTGGCAAACAATTTTTCAATTGCTTTTTCACAAGATCCATCTGACCACAAAGCGTTTGCAATGCAAAATTCCAATAATGTTGTTGGAGGAAGAGAGGGTATAGTTCCTGCAGGTAAGGGGCATTTCACTTTGGGACATATTGCGATAGCTGATTGCTCAATTGCTGACGAGCCTACTGGATTGAATGACAAGTGACTTCGTGTCAATTACCCCAAAAGCATAACTCCTAGGATCATTCAGGCACACAAACTATATCACCGCAGTAAAGTGACGATCCACAGAAGATTGTGTCGAGAACATTGAGCCCACTTTATTCTTGAGACACGTCTGCAGAACTTGCCATAGACCATCAATGTTTTGGCTAAGTCTTTACATCATAACAGGGTTGATGAGGGACTGAATGATGGACTGAATTAGGTTTATGAGTAAATGACTCTTAAAGTATTGCATAATGATAAGACATTTTCAAACAATTAAGTTCAGTTGTGTTGCTTCTAAAATATAGCTATTAATAAATAGTCTGGACCAATTTATCTTTTTCTCCTGACCCATCTTTATCACCAAAACTCTTCCCTCCTTTTTCCATGTCATGTGTTAAAAATAATAAATTCAGTGTTATCCCTTTCATAACTTGACATGTTTTAACTCATCAAACAAGGATCTTCAAAAGAAAGACAGTATATGTGGAATTACATAAATCTTTACCTGTTCAAAATTAATAAACAAAAAACTATCAACAACATTAAACAGGTAAAAAAAAAAATCCGGCAGTCATCTGCTGTTTAAACATGATTAACTTTGAGAATGTATTGCTTCAGGGTTGAGATAGGTTCTTCCTACTTAATACAGACTGAAGAATGAGTCTTGCAGCTATTTTTTTTACACAATGATAAGTAAACAAATACATTCAAAGGAAATATATATATAATTGTTCATAACTTATAGAACGAAGTCCCTCGAATGTGAAGCAAAACATCCTCAAAAGATCAAGAGAAAAATTAATCCAGTTGGCTTGAAATTATCTCGATAAAATTAACTAATTATACTGAAGTACTAGTGTACAGTGTCCTTAATTGAAAATGTTACTGTAAGTAGCATTTTTCCAGCACTAATGACTTAATGATAACTAATGAGCAGTCGTCCTCCAATGCAAGAGTTGGGGGTTCGAACCCCACAACAGTCACATGCCGAAGTGTCCCTGGGCAAGACACTGAACCCCTTGTTGTCTCCGATGTGTGTCCCATCGGTGTATGAATGTGATAAATCACTGCTTAGTCTCTTTAGAATGATTTCTTCAATTAGCTTTGTAGAGATCTAGTAGAGTGCTGTATGAATGGGTAAATGAGCGCACAGATTGTAGTGTAAAGCGCTTTGAGTGTCTCAATAAGATAGAAAGGCGCCATATAAGTACAGTCCATTTACCATTTACCATTTATCTCATTTATGCTACTAGTGCTTAGTGTGTTTTTAGTTAACAATTCTCTTGGTTTATAGCTTAGATCTTATTACTGTTTTTCTTTTACACACATTTTAATGCTTTTGTTGGATGTAACTGGGAAACTGTGTACACAGTTCCATTCCACCACATGTACCACATGTGGTGTGAACAACAAATAAAGAACCTTGAATCCTCGAATCCTTAAATCATTATTCTTTTTATTTTGCTAACTTCAGGATTTGCATAAAAACATCATATTAGTCTGTCCAACCCACACTGATGTTGCCAAGGCATGTGATTCACGTAATCAGTTTCCGATTAACTATATAATAGGAGTATAACTGTACATCTTAATCACATTCTGTGTACTTTAGTTTTACCCTACCCTTGCTGTATGGGATACTTTGAAGCAGTGGTTTTAAACTGGTCTAGTTTCAGGACTCACCATCTCTTCTAAGGACAAGGTGCAACCCAGTTTGATTCTGATTGTAAAATGAAACATTACATTATGTCAATACAAAAAAAAAGGTTTTCTTCTTCATTTGGTTGTTCCATTTTCAGTGGATGCCCTAATGGGTCATCCTCCTCCATATCACTCTATCATCAAGATCCTCTGGCCTTACTGAAACTACATATATTTTCTAACTACATCCATACCCTATATCTCCTCTTTGTACTTTTCCTGGCAGCTGCATTTCTACCACCCTTCCAACAATCTACTGTACCTATCAATACCTATATCTATCTATATGACTGTCTGTCTGTCTCTCTCTCTCT